GGCTTGGATTCTTCCCAAATAACTTATAATACCTTCTAATTGCGGTAAGGTTTTAGCAGCCAAAAACGCTTTCGCTGATGCTTCTGCCGACTGTCATCAAGAATCTAGAGGTGCGCATTAGCTCCTATATATACTTCTAGCACGATAAACGGAAGACAGACCTTCTCGAAATCCTGGATAGACTGGGCCTCGGCCTTCTTCGCCGACTTGGCTTTGGCCAGGATCTCCAGGAACCTAGAGTAGACACCCTCCTCGTATAGCTTGTCCTTATAGTACGGTAGACCATCAACCAACTTCTTCAGACTCTTCTCGGCCCGGAAGGGTAAGAGGGAGAGGCAGAATGCTACGTCACGCCATTGCCGAGGTTCAGACACGAGTTTGAAGCGCTGGCAAAGCTTCTCGACGATGTTCTCTGCCTGACGTTCCTTCTCAATGAAGGTGAAGATGAAGCGCATGGTATTTTGGAAGGTCTCCTCAGATACCGCGAATGCACCTATCGACAAATGCGAGATCACTGCAGCCGCATCAGCAAAGATAGAGGGGAAAAAGTTTGCTCAAACACACTGTCGGGCAGGTTGTTGTAAATCGCGTTATCCTTTGTTGACAGCTCGTGGAAGAACAGTTTCGCCAGATCACTGACGCGCTGTTCCCCGTCTTCGGTACACTTGGCCATCTCCGCCAGCTGGCCTTTGACCTTGATCATGCCGTTTAGGATCAAGTGCGTAAGCACCATAAGCGTGTTCTTCTTTACGATGAGGTCATCGTCATTCAGTCCCATGTACAGGTTGTTGAGGCGCTCATCGATGATGGTGGCGAAGGACACGGCAAGATCACCGATGCCAATGACGAGGTTTGCGCGGATGTTGGGGTCACGAGATGTCTCAAGGATCTTGAAAAGAAGCTTATAGTGCTCCTCGCAGAACTTGCCGGAGATGCAGAGGAACTTCGCGAAGGAGAGGGTGGCAGCCGCACGCAGGGTCGGGTCCTGTTTGACATGTCAACACCTATCAGAACGAGAGAAATCGCCAGGATACGTGCCTTGTATATCTGCGGCGAGCCGCAAACGTAGACTAGCAGTGGGCCGTACACTCTGAGGAGCGACTGCTCGCCGTACAATAGCTCCCCCTCGCGTACATGCTTGATGTGTTCCCCAATATCATCCTCCGCGTTCCCAGCGACCTGCTCGATTTCGTCCTCCTTCTCCTGCTGACTCGCGCCCTGCTTTGCCGCCAGCTCCAGCTCCTGCTTCTGGCGCTTCATCTCACGCTCTATCAGCTCAAGATGGACGATGTGCTTCATCGCGACGTGGCCCACGACGAAGAACATCTGGCTGAGGCTGAAGGCATCGCCAGCATCACCACCAGAGATTGCGCTAGGATTCGACGGACCAGTCGCGGCCTGAGGTTGAGGCGTTGGGGCCATGTCCTGTTCGCCATTCACAGCGCCGTCCGGCGTCTGCGTTTCTTTGTCGTCAAGTTCCATTGCATCCGAGTCCTGTTCTACCTGCGGTCTATCTTGAATAGACTGAGGCGACAACGGCTCGGACCCGCCAAGATCTGCCGGTGCC